AGACCTGTGTGCTTTCATATATAATGTTTAAGACCTCTGTGATTTCACAGCCATGCTCCAGACCTCTGTGCTTTCCCAGCCATGCTCCAGACCTTTGGGCTTTGACAGCCATGCTCCAGACCTCGGTTCTTTCATTGCTAATGCTCCAGACCTCTGTGCTTTCATATATAATGTTTAAGACCTCTGTGATTTCACAGCCATGCTCCAGACCTCTGTGCTTTCCCAGCCATGCTCCAGACCTTTGGGCTTTCACAGCCAATGCATCTTAAATGCTCTACATCAATGTTTGCGGGAGTCGGCCTGTGCCTCGTTTTCTGCTAATTGCGCCCTTCAACACAGGTTTCCTCATACTACAATGGCGATCATGTTTGTCTTCCGTTTAGAGCTTCTAGGGACATATAATGTTGCATTCCTTCCCGCCCCCCTCCCCACCCTTTTTCTCACTTCCCACATCCACATTGCTAAGCATCTCAACCTTTGACAACGTTTCTGATTGCCCGGGAAATTGAGTACCCGGTTCTGCTAACAGCAGAGAGCAACTGGAATGTCTCCCGGCGGAGACTCAGTCTCCAAGACTGCATTAACCACACCGAGGTGCATTCGCATCTTCCACCGCGAGGAGATGCAGCTGGGAATTTCCCCTTCTTCGAGACTAGGGACCAGCAGATCTTTTCCCATACTCTGTGAGTGCCTTTTGAAGAAAAACAGTAATATTTCTAAAACAAATGAAACGGACATAATTTGCAATACACTGGAAGTGACACAATTATCCATACCTTATAACAGACATAATTATTCAAATTAAGAACTGACATCATTGTCAAAGTATTCACATTAATAATAGTCTCCCATGAACCATCATCATCAACAGTTTCTAGTTCTGCCGTTATACCCTGTGTGGAGGATTAGTTTGCGATCCATTGCTTGATGGCATGCAATTTCTTTTTTTCACTCAGTGTCAACTTTCTGTCTGTCAGATGACAGAGAGAATAAAAGCTGTATACATAAGAGAACTGAATGCTCCTAGACCACGAGGCAGACCAAGAAAACGATGAGAGATAATGTCCAGACAGACCTGCAAACACTTGGTGTCACCAAGTTGAAATAAAAAGACAACAAGAAAGATAAGTGAAGGCAGGTAATATCTGCAGCAATCAACCTCCAGTGCTCGGAATGCTGAACAAGAAGAAGAAATTCCACATCCGCGTAGAAAGTTGGATCTCGAGTCCGTATTTTGATTCTAATTATCTGACAGCAAGTGGATGTTCCTGTTCGGTCCTGAACGAACATCCATGAAAAGTGTAGTACTCTTAATTTTAGTTGTATAGTAGGTAGTATAATCGTATACTTAGTGTTAGGTGTAAAGGGATTAGTATAATGCTACTCCTAGTGTTAAGTGTATAGGAAGTAGTATAATGGTACTCTTTGTGCTAGGTGTATAGAAAGTAGTATAAGGTTGGGTGTATAGTAAATAGTATAAGGTTGGGTGTATAGTAAGTAGTATAAGGTTGGGTGTATAGTAAGTAGTATAATGGTACACTTAGTGTTATGTGTAACATCATCATCCTGTAGCAGGTCCTTTGCAGAACGTCGCTCTTATCACAGTCTGCCTGTAAGAAACTCGGTCTCTTGCCAGTTCTCCTGCCTCATGAACTTTCACACTCAAGGAGTCACTTATATCCTGTGCCCATCTTCGTGTCAGTCGGCCCCTGCCTCTCCTTCCTTAGGTGTATAGTAAGTAGTATAATGGTACACTTAGTGTTAGGTGTATAGGAAGTAGTGTAATGGTAGTATTTGTGGTTTCTGTATAGTAAGAAGTATAATGGTACACTTAGTATTGGGTGTATAGTAAGTAGTATAATGGTAAACTTATTGTTGGGTGTATAGTAAGTAGTATAATGGTACACTTAGTGTTGGGTGTATAGTAAGTAGTATAATGGTACTCTTACTGTTAGGTGTATAGTAAGTAGTATAATGGTGCACTTAGTGTTGGGTGTATAGTAACTAGTATAATGGTACACTTACTGTTAGGTGTATAGTAAGTAGTATAATGGTACACTTACTGTTAGGTGTATAGTAAGTAGTATAATGGTGCACTTAGTGTTGGGTGTATAGTAAGTAGTATAATGGTACACTTACTGTTAGGTGTATAGTAAGTAGTATAATGGTGCACTTGGTGTTGGGTGTATAGTAAGTAGTATAATGGTGCACTTAGTGTTGGGTGTATAGTAAGTAGTATAATGGTGCACTTAGTGTTGGGTGTATAGTAAGTAGTATAATGGTGCACTTAGTGTTGAGTGTATAGTAAGTAGTATAATGGTGCACTTAGTGTTGGGTGTATAGTAAGTAGTATAATGGTACACTTAGTGTTAGGTGTATAGTAAGTAGTATAATGGTGCACTTAGTGTTATGTGTATAGTAAGTAGTATAATGGTAAACTTAGTGTTGGGTTATAGTAAGTAGTATAATGGGACACTTAGTGTTGGGTGTATAGTAAGTAGTATAATGGTGCACTTAGTGTTGAGTGTATAGTAAGTAGTATAATGGTACACTTAGTGTTGGGTGTATAGTAAGTAGTATAATGGTACACTTAGTGTTGGGTGTATAGTAAGTAGTATAATGGTATACTTAGTGTTGGGTGTATAGTAAGTAGTATAATGGTATACTTAGTGTTGGGTGTATAGTAAGTAGTATAATGGTATACTTAGTGTTGGGTGTATAGTAAGTAGTATAATGGTATACTTAGTGTTGGGTGTATAGTAAGTAGTATAATGGTACACTTAGTGTTGGGTGTATAGTAAGTAGTATAATGGTACACTTAGTGTTGGGTGTATAGTAAGTAGTATAATGGTACACTTAGTGTTGGGTGTATAGTAAGTAGTATAATGGTATACTTAGTGTTGGGTGTATAGTAAGTAGTATAATTTTACACTTAGTGTTGGGTGTATAGCAAGTAGTATAATGGTACTCTTTGTGCCAGGTGGATTGTAAGTAGTATAATGGTACTCTTTGTGTCAGGTGCATAGTAAGTAGTATAATGGTACACTTAGTGTTGAGTGTATAGTAAGTAGTATAATGGTACACTTAGTGTTGAGTGTATAGTAAGTAGTATAATGGTACACTTAGTGTTGAGTGTATAGTAAGTAGTATAATGGTACACTTAGTGTTGAGTGTATAGTAAGTAGTATAATGGTGCACTCGGTGTTGGGTGTATAGTAAGTAGTATAATGGTACACTTAGTGTTGGGTGTATAGTAAGTAGTATAATGGTGCACTTAGTGTTATGTGTATAGTAAGGAGTATAATGGTTCTATTGGTGCTAGGTGTATAGTATAAAGTTTTTTCTCTTACAGGTACTGTGTATATTTCAGGTATAATAATCGTGGTGACTAAATGATCTAGTATTTTTTGAACCACACGATTCGGCGATAAGTGTAGTAGCTGACGATATTTTATGACATAGAAGTGGACAGTGTGTGCATATGTGAAGTAGTGAGAGGTCCAGTGTGTTAACTGGGTCTCTGGAACTCTGGAACTCATGTCGAGACCCTTCTTGTTCGCATCATCAAGCATCATCGTGTGCCAGGTGAGTCAACTGGAGAAGAGCTAAGCGTTTGTTGTTTTGATTCTGTTTTTGACCTGGTTTGTTCGTCCGCCCTAGGAGTTCCTCTCTGTTGTATTGCAACATTGGCCTCGTATAGTGTCCATTAGTCTTGTCTATCCTTTGCATTATTTCGTATTTGCGTGAGCCGTTAGTAGGACAAAGTTTACTTCGATCCAACACTGTAAGGTAATGGTGTGCGTGGACTTAGGCCACATCGGTACTAGATTCTAGATATGCTGGTAACTAGCAGCGGCTAGGGGATCTATTCTCGAAATACCCGCTTGATTGTTCTTGTTAGTTATTAGACCCGTCATTGCCGTTTGCGATGTCTTGTCATTAACTATTTCTTAGAGTACGTCATCGTTTGATATGTCTTGCGTTGCATTTAGATTACTGTGAACTTCTAGTTCGCATTATCGTATGTACATTTTTGTGACATCAAAAACGTTTTGCCAGATAGGGTAAACTAACCCTGGCAAGACAGCACATTAGTGTTTGGAAGCTGCCCCGCTGAGACGGTCGTAGCTGATCAATGAGATAACGATGATGATCTCTTCCATCGCCGGCAGCAACACCCGGTGCCTTGCTTCAAGCTGGTCAAGCACAGTCTTGTAACCGCCCCAGTGACCTCTCCAGGACAGTCTGAACAGGCTGTTTGTTGCCCATGTAGCAGGTATCTCCTTTCATCTCCCTCCTAAAGTCCATGCCGTGTGGCGTTGCCAGTCATGTCTATCTCAAACCTTCTGTCTCGTTTACTTTCATGCAACTCTGACAGAGATGAACTTCCATGCCATGATGTCAAACCGTCTAGCATCTGTTCTCTCCTTCTGTTCTGCCTCTCCTCCGCTCCTACTTCCCTACTGTCACGTACTCAACTGTAATCCTTCTCATCACATGACCAAAGAATATAGGCTGTCTTTTCCCCCTATCTACGTTTTGGTAATACCAAGGGGGGAACGAGTACCAATGCAAGCTGGCACCGAAGACTTTACTTAGCAACAAAAGATAGACAAAGAAACGTGACGGGCCTGCTCGGTATATGTAACACTCGTAAAATGATTTAAAATTAGGCAGGCAATAATTGGTGAATACCATTTAAAAAGGAATAGACTCCAGAATCTAATGAAAACACAATCAGGAGGAAATCATAGAGAAATGCCTGGGTGCCTCGTGGATATAGATGGGGGTGATACACGTGCACTGGACTACTGGCCCGCAAATTTTATGATCGCTATGCTTATCGATATGGCACATGCTGACGATGATAAAAAGAATCAAAAAAAAAAAAAAAAAAACATACTTACTTTCAACGTCGTAGCAGACATCACTCGTATAGCCAGCTTTACAAATACACAAGCCTTTTCGGTCTGAACAATCGCCCGAGCAGTTCGGATTACACTTCAGCAAACATTTGAACCCATACGTTCCACGTGGGCACTTAGTGGAACAGGATCCCGTGACCACACTGCAGCTCTGGTTACTGTTGCACATGCATGTTTTCTCACAGCGAAGGCCATAGGTCCCATCCTCACAAGCGTTTTCTGAATCGAAAGGCAGACAGATATGACCTTGACATATGACATCATAGTTGACTAATTACAAGCTATTATAGCTAATCTAAATTATAAATACAATCTTTATACCGACATTAGGTTATCAGTGTCAGACTTGGACATTAACAAAAGAACACGAGAGAAGACTAACCACCTGTGAAATGAGATGTTTGAGAATGGCTGCGAATAAAACCAGAAGAGATAGAGTGAGAAACGATGTGATTACAAGAACTATTGGAACCATACCCATCGTTAAATTTATTGAGAAGCAAAGAATGAAATGGTTTGGTCACCTAATGAGAATGGAACCAACGATGCCAGCATCAAGAGCATACAACATGAAAATCGAAACACCAAGAGGCAGGGGAAGACCAAGAAGAAGATGGATTGAAGGAGTCACGGACAACTTGAGACTTCATAACATCACGGCATATGAAGCGACTGAGCGCGCCCTGGCTCGGTTGCCGATCATCTGATAGACTGCGACGCCTAGCGGCACAAGCAGATTTTGACAAAAGAAGAAGATTGCTAAACTGGTTTTAGAAGTCTGGACAACATTCTTTAGTTTTATTTATAGAACTGGATACCTGAGGATAATCTGACATCTCTTGTCATACCTTAACCGAAAACATCTGTTGCACTAGACTGTGGAGAACATCGGATAATTAGCATAATGAGTGAAATAATAAGAAACTTAATGAGAATTAAAATGAGAAAAAATAGGGAGCGTAAAAAAAAAAACCAGAATTGGAGAAGAGCTGAACTGTTTTATTGAAAGTAAAAGCACGAGCAACTCCATATTTATCTTGAGAATTCTTTCCGCAAGAAATAATGGATATGATAGCAACAGCAGAACAAGAATTTAATGGTAGTTACAGAGAAATGGGAGCCTCCTGAACGAAGCGTCAAAGTGAATCTTCGTGCAAGCTTTCACATTTACTCGGGTGCTATGACAGCATCCGATAGAAGATGATTTTTAAAAAGTCATTATTAAAAGCTACATACATCTTATCCTGGCGTATGGAAGTAAATCATGGACAGTTGGTCGAATAGTTAAGAATTATATATTGTGTGTGTGTTTTTTTGTGTGTGTGTGTGTGTGTAGGTTTTCGAGTGTAGCATCTACCTTTAGAAGACATTTCAAGGCAAGTACACCTTATTTCCTGCAATACATTTTTAAAAGTATTTTGCAGCAGTTCATTTTAAATATCTTACACTGCTTTAACAAAAGTAGTAAATGCAGACAGTAAATAAAACGCAGTCGTAGATCATAGAACTGGATTATACAGAAAAAAAAAAAATAACAAAAAACATAATTTAGAGAATGAAATAAATAACAGCAAAAAGAAGGGATGATAACAAAAATGTTGCTGAAAACATTTCAGACAACGGAAGCATGTGGGAAGAAATTTAGACAGACGCATTGAAGACGACTTAGAGGATACTAAGCACTCACACTGAAATGTAAGCACGTGATGAATATAAACAGTCACAAAACACTGCTCAACACAAGACATAGGAACACACTTTTTAATTACACAAAAAGAAAATATTTTGTATGGAAACATTGAGAAATATATAGATGAAATATAGACAGAAGAGAATCAGTCGGTGCGTAACTTATACGGGCAGAGAAAAATTCAGGAGCTGCAAGGAACAAAACACGAGGCCGGCTTGAAGGATGACAGTCATCGTTCTCATGCTCATATCCCACAATAAAGGAAGCAATTGAAGGGCAGGAAGAATAAACACACTCTTCTTTAGTACGTGTGCCCTTAGAGATGTGGTTTTACTGAAGAATCTGTAGAATTCCTTGGAAGGCCAAATAAGAGAATCCTAGATATTTTAGATGGGGCGAAAGCTCGAAGAGAACTTATAGCAAAGCGAAAGTTTTATTATTTTTTTTTGGGGGGGGGGGGGATTATGTATGGGGGATTGGGGTGGGGGGGGTGGTTTAGGGGTGGGGGATTGGGATGGGGAGGGGGGTGTTTATGCTACAAGAAGGAAACTGTAAGATGTTGTGTACACTGGCGAGACCTGTGGACAGAGAAACAGAGGAAGACAGCCCGAGAAGATGTTTGACAGTTTTCTGACATTGCGTAGAGGGGTGTCAACACATGAACCGAAACATGCTATTGCAGATAACACACTGTGGAAAGGCATGACTACCTAGACCAGTCAACTCGACGATGATGATGTTTGCTTGCCTACCCAAACAAAAACTACCCAGTTACGTACCACCATAGGCCTCTACCTCACAGAGCGTCAGGTCGTTAGATTTGAGCAGCCCAATTCTCAGAAATGTTGACGGATTGGCGCTTGAGAAAAACAAGTTGTACGCAGGAAGACCAGGTGCCAATATCTTGTTTAAGGTGTTGATTTGACTGGCATATCCGAGAACAGCGTCAAAGTGGGAGAGTTTATCCATAAAGACTGTGGGAAGCCAATGATGCAATTATCACAGTGGTAATAACGGCAGTGGTATTAATGCTTGTAACTCTATCTAATTATCCATGGGATGAAACAAGCAATATATTTCCCGGTTACTAGTATACCAGGAATATTGACCTCCTAGTCATCACGTGTGTGCTGTTTACGCATGACATAACTTGCTGAATTAATGAATAAGTGACTAATCCCCTTCTTCATTATTGAACAGAAAGAGTCGACACGATAATAATTATGATGCAACCTGGTTACAAGTCTGCATACACTTGTATGTTTATATAGGTCTCTGCAAACCCCCTCTTCCCCCAACATCTCTGTTGAATTAGTCTTTTCATGTATAGACTCTCTGTCTGTGTTGTCGCACTGTCCATTTGATCCAAGACAGCCCTAATCATGTCCATTTTATCATAAAGTAGCTCACCGCGAGGAGGAGCAGCGGTAGCCAATCTAGCAGCCTGGTAGTTACCTGGAACCTAGCTACATGTTTACCTAGCTGATAACACTGGTCTACACATTTGAATGCATCCAATGTTATAGCTGTTCTGTGATAATTGTCTCATCGCATACATTTAATCAGTTTTATTTATCTATAAGCACAAACAGTTTTTTTTAGATACTGAAAAAAAAAAAAAAAAGACAATTGTGTGATACACGTAAATGGTTACATCACGTGACATTTACACTGTTTAAGGCGCCCACATGTGTAAAGATCTATGTAGCGCCCACCCCCCCTCTTTCCTAGAGCGTTATATAGACAATACTGTTATAATATCAATATAATACACGAATGTCTAAATCTCAAACACTAGAGCTGTCAAACACTGGTTCTCTACACACGAAATATGTCTTGCATTCACGGGATACTAAACGCCGATCAGATCCACTAGCACAGTTGATGCCAGACTAAGGGTTTCTAATGAGACCGGTAAAACCTTCTGTCTTTGAAGACTGTGTAACACTTTTTTTTTTGGCGTAGGGAGTGAGTGGGCTTAGAGGGTGGGATGGGGGGGGGGGGGTGTTCGGGGGATCTTTAAGTCTGAGGAAATATTACCACATGGCTAACTATTTGCACGAACTATGTATCTTAGAACATATCCAATTATGACAGAAATACGAACGCCGAAGGACACTTTTAAAATTGCAATTACGTATGTGGATATCAACGAAGAAACGTGGTAGGATTTTGTGGAAGACGGACGGAAATGGTGTACAGCAGTGATTTCAAGACTGTGCGCCGCGGCGCCCCAGGGAGCCGCGACCTCTTCATAGGGTCGCCACGAAAAATTGTACTGTATAATTATTTTAACCACGACACGATTAGTCAGACTTTCACTTTAGTTAGGGCGCCGTGGACATGTTATTTTTAATTAAAGGCGTCACAACCAAGAAGAGTTTGGGAAACATTGGTGTACAGTTTTGAAGCAGATTTCGCTGACTTGCAAGCCACCAGTGGTTGCACAGGCAGACACACGAAGACAGGCTGGAAAGCAAATCCGACATCTTGTGTCTCTACTATATTCTGTCTGCACAGTTTAAGATCTTTCTATGCTGAAAAAGGTACTCATCAACCCATTTGTACTCATAACAATTGACTCTTTGTTTGCATCTAATGGATGTTGATTGGCCGTAGTCACTTTTTGATGAACGAAGTAGCATCGCTTATGACTTGTAGACTAATAGACCATTCTGTTAGTCTTCTCGTCCGGTCTGTCTTTTCCAGGCTTGGGTAAAGCTTCACAGTTCTGCCGCTAACGGCGTCTTGCATAATGTCCTTTGCAAACTACTGTAAGCTGTTATATTCTCTTTCGTTGCTATGTTTCTTGCAGCTAACAAGGCAGACGTCCCCGGGGAATTACCTTTTCATATATCCAGGTAACTCCATAGGTTTTCAGCCAAAAAGGATTCCACAATTGGCTTTTGTCCGAAAAATCGGATAGGTTACTATACTGTTTATAATAAGTTAATAATGAAGAATAATCAAGTTTGCATAAGTTTCCAAAAACAGGCGATGTTTCCCATTTGCCTATGGATAAACTGATTCTAGTGTCTATGTAATTACATAATTAGGCTACGTGCAGTCTGCACACTAGGAGGTCGTCTGGGAGTTTAATTCGTGCCAGGTCATTGCATCCAGTTTTCCATTAGGCATGTGCAACACTTACCTGCACAATCACTAGAAAAACACAAAAAATGGGGGGGGGGGGGGTGGTGAACTGGAAAAATATATGTTCAAATTAGTCAGCGAATGACAGTTATAAAATCGGTTTCAGCTGGCTTTCGTTAGCAAAGTTTGTATATTATGTAAGATGCGGGGGTTTGATTCTCCCTTTGTTATAACTTCTCAATGAAAGCTTCGGCTGGGGCACTGAAAGGTAATTACAGCTACTTACATTTTTAGTCGGTACACTGACTCTATTACATTTAGTCACACTAGAACCCATATCTGCCGGGTAAACTGCACAAAATGAGTGGCCCTAAGTCCTCAGCTCTGTGTTGCCTAGTGCAGGGGTTCCTAACCCAGTAGACCTGCCATGTTACTT